TATTTTAAGGCCTGTTTATCCCTAGCTGCTTTCAGAATTCTCTCCTTATTCTTGTATTTTGCCACTTTCACTATGATATGTCATGCAGCAGATCGATTCAAGTTTCATCTGAAGGAAGTACTCTGTGCATCTTGGATTTCACTGCCTGTTTCCTTCCCCAGATTGGGGAAGTTCTCAGCTATGAATTGTTCAAATACATCTTCAGCCATTTTCTTTCTCTTTTCATCTTGTGGAATTCCTGTGATACAGATCTTCTTCCATTTGGTTGCACCCCTTAGTTCTCTAATCCTCCCCTCGTATTCCTGGATTTTTTAATCTTTTTCTCAGCTTTCTCTTTTTCCATAATTTTATCTTCTCATTCACCCATTCTCCCCTCTGCCTCTTCAGTCCACACTGTGGCCACCTCAGTTTTATTTTGCACTTCATTTATAGCATTTTTTAATTCATCACGACTGTTTTTGAGTCCCTTGATCTCTGTAGCAGTAGATTCTCTGCTGTCCTCTGTGCTTTTTTCAAGCCCAGCAATTAATTTTATGACTATTATTCTAAATTCTTGTTCACTTATATCACTTAAATTGGTTTGATTAGTTCATTAGCTGTTGCTACTTACTGGAATTTCTTTCGAGGAGAATTCTTCCGTTTCATCATTTTGGCTAGTTTTCTGTCCCTTATGTGTTTTAAAAGCTTGTATGCTCTGCACCTGCGAGCACTGCTATATTAAAGGAGGGTCATATACTGTCCACGGCCTGGCCCTTCAGGAGGTGTTTTTTCAAAGATTGTTACTTGCTCTCTGTTGTTGTGACTTTGGTTATTTTATTACCCACTCTTAGTGATATTTTGGACCCCCCACCAGGTGTGCTTTGATTTGTTCTTTGGATTAGCCCTGTAAAGGAGAACAGATAGACAAACAGGAGACAAAAACATGCAAACACACAAACAAATAACACAAACAAACAGAAACAAAAATCTAAAGACTAAAAACAAGAAACCCCAAAATACCGACTACAAGTAATGAAGAGGGTGGAGGCGGTCCTGATGGAGGAGCACATACAAAGAGAGAAATGACAGGAGGCGGGGGTTGGGGGGGAGAAAAAATAAACATTGACGAGGCAGAGAGACTAAAAGGCTTAATCCAGAGAGAGAGAAAGGAAAATAAAGGAAGCAGAGAAAATGAAACAAAGATAAAGTTACCTAGACAAACTATATGGCTTGATTATTTCAGAGAGAGAGAAGGGAGTGTTAAGAAGGAGGTGTAGAACATGTATCAAGACAATGGATTGAATATGTCTGTTTAGACCAATAACCAGAGTAACCAGCCTAGGGAAAGGAAGAGATAAGGAGGAGAAATGGTGTGGGTAGAATATATCTATATATCCAGAATTGACCTAGAGTTAACCCAGGCAATGCTGCTGCACTTGTTTGGAGGAGCTGTCCGCAGGGTCTGTCCCTCTCCAGTAGATAGGCAGTTAGTTACCCAGTGCGAAGGGGCATGGTTTGGTGTAGTCTGGACCC